TAAAACTAGGGACTTATGGCATATATGCTATTTTATATTATTTACCTAGGCGAGTGTATTCGCCCGTGCAAACACAACAGTGAAATGAACACCGTGTATTAACAGCCAACATTGTATTGCGCATAATTTCATATTATTATAGGGTAAACCGTATAGCTATTGCCCACTTAAGGATTTCAAACACATTGAGATGAAAAATTAAAGAAAGTATTTTAATTATCGACCATTTATGACTTTTTTCTTATAACTCAATAAACTGTTAAACAGAATATTAACAGTTTTTAGTTAAAACTTACGTAACTTAGAAAATATTGAAATAAATTTAAAATCCTCCAAAAAGTACAGTCATTGCCCATTACTTACACTAATTGCCCACATCAAAGCACAGTAATTGCCCAGTAATCTTAAAACAAAATAATCAATTTAAAAATGACTAATAGGCTTTAAATAAACAAAACAAAACATTAAACTTAAATTCTAGTAGTACAGTCTTCAAAATTTCAAATTAAATTGCGTTTGGCCTTATTAACTGTATTATCATATTTCTTGAGCTGATGTTGATGAGTCAGAATCCGTAGAGACAGAATCATCTACTTCAAAACATAGATGACGCAAAAATTTGAATTTTATATGTAAATTTTATATGTATTTATTTTTTTATCTTCTTTGATATCAGTTCAAGTAGTTGCTCAGAATGTTCAATTAGCTGTTGGTTATTTTTCCCTAAAGTTGTATCTATTTCCTTACAATTAACATTTTCACTAGTAGATTTAACGTAGGATTTTCATTTTTTGTATTTGCGTTTGAATTTTTATCAATTTTTTCAAGCCAAACCATATTTTTCAGCAATTTATATTGTAGAAAAATTGTTGGATACATCTTGTACAGCTTCGATCGCTTTTTGCAAATTTTCTATGCTATATTGAACTTTTGGAGTCTTTGGCATACTGAAAATGAAACATTAAAAGCCATTTCAATATTTATGCCTGTAAATTGCAAAACAAGTCCAGCAATGAGTAACTTAAACACTGCTACTGCATGGTGGCAACTACTGGCAACACTCTAATAATAATTGCCCTGGGCAATAACTATACATTAACATATGGCAATAACTGAAATGATGGTGGGCAATAACTAAAAATATACAGATTTACGTGCAGTGATTACCCACCGTTAAAATGACCGTTAGAAATCAAATTTTATCAGTTATTTTCATTGATAATGGAAGAAGCACTAATAATTTCATCATGACTATACACCATTAGTTAAATATTAAATGACTTGCAAAAAAAATTTAACCTCTAAGCAAGTAATTCCTTAGTAAAATTGTTAAAGTCTTTACCTGTTTGAGTAACATTTTTACCCGTCTTGACAAAATCCGCCATAACTGTTTTTTTTAGTGTTTCCTATTGTAAATTTTAAATCTACTGTACATTGATCTCGGAGCCATCTACTTAGTAAATTCAAATCTAACTAGAGTGATTCAAAGTCAGCACCTGACAATATTGTTCTTAAAGCGGGCAATCACTACCAGTGGGCAATCACTCTCTGGTTTACCCTACAACTTGCTCCTTCAATCTCATATTAAGCCCATTTCCCACGCATCAAGTGAATATTACACACTTTAGGCGTGAGCCATAGCCTTTAACGCGTTGACGCTGCGACACTTTACCACAGTAAAATTAAAAGTAGGTAACACAAATTTGTTGTACAACGAGTTAACTGCGCACCTGGCAATCGTGACGTCACATCGACGCTCTGGTAGGCTGAGGCGATTGCGGTATAGTGGGAGGGTGAGTCGCATTCGATTCGGTGAGCGAGGTGCGCAGATAGCTTGATCAACGCGTTGAAATAAAAATTACATTAAATTACCAACAGTTGATGTGCGGTCTTGAAACGCGCTCTTTTTCAGGCATATCCACATCAGTATGTAACCGATATTCTTAATAAAGACGCCTAATTAAGTGACGAATACGACTTGAGGCACTTGAACATTACACTAACGATGAACCAGTTTAGATCTTTATCTAAAGGGCTGCAATGGATCGGAGGAATATCACGATGCAACCTAAGAGAGTTTCGGTAATTTTGAACCTGAGATGGTATCTACACGCGAACTTTTGTACACAGTATTCAGTGTCATCATCATCNAAAATATCTCATTTTGCGTCCCGGTTGTAATTTTGATGACTAAGCCGAAAAATCAATATAGAGGTTCTAATTAAATGTCATAATAATAATATGATTAATGTAAATAAAACATATTCATATATTTTTTTATTTCCCACTTTAGGGTACCATAATCAACAAGGAACCCTTACCTCCATCTTCCTATTACACTATGCAACGTAAGATCGACTTTCGATATTTATTTTAATTCTTCGATATTTTGATCGTTCGATCATTTGTAAATTCGATATTCTGAACGTTCGATATTTTGATCATTCGATATTTTGATCGTTCGATGAAACGTGTTCGATATTTTGATTTTCGATTATTTGTAATTCGATATGGTGGAGGTAACCCGTATGTATCGGAAAGTTGATGGGGACGAAGCATTAACTTGTTATGGGTCATAAGGATACCCTCTTATGACGTTTATGTTCCACTATGTGTGGAGAAGATACCATGTTTGGGCTTGCTAGCCTTTAATTTTTAGACAAACATTTATTTATTTTATTTTATTTGTTACAGGAGACCCGTCTCTGCTTCGCACAGGTACGATACGACTTAAACTAAAGACCTTTCTCTTGAATCACTCCATGTATTAAAAAAAACGCATCAAAATCCATTGCGTAGTTTTAAAGATCTAAGCATACTAGGGACAGACAGACAGGAAAGCTACTTTGTTTTATAATAATGTATTGATAGTGATGATGATGCCAGATATAGGATTAAGATTACACTTATCATAGGCCGTATGAAACAAAATTTTCGACGAATCCGAAGTCAAAAATTTTTTTTCATTATTTTTTGGGATAGTACATTAGTAGAGCTACCTCCCCTATCAGTTTGATTCACACCCTGTATGCAGATTAAAAAAATAAACTTTCCTATCAATCAAACGTAGTAGGTACGAATATCTTTATTTATTACTAGCTTTCCGCCCGCGGCTTCGCGCGCGTTGACCCCTGAACCCTATTTTTTTCCAAAATAAAATTTAGCCTATGTTACTCGTGGATACTGTAGCTTTCGAATGGTGAAAGAATTTTAAAAAACGGTCAAGTAGTTTTTGATCCTATTCATTACAACCAAACAAACAAACAAAGTTTTCCTCTTTATAATATTAGTGTAGATTTAATTGAACGAAAGGCATTAGGGAAAACTTTTAAAGAGACGCATTGTTAATTTGTATGGGTTTCTAAAATAAAACTAGGGACTTATGGCATATATGCTATTTTATATTATTTACCTAGGCGAGTGTATTCGCCCGTGCAAACACAACATTGAAATGAACACCGTGTATTAACAGCCAACATTGTATTGCGCATAATTTCATATTATTATACAACTTGCTCCTTCAATCTCATATTAAGCCCATTTCCCACGCATCAAGTGAATATTACACACTTTAGGCGTGAGCCATAGCCTTTAACGCGTTGACGCTGCGATACTTTACCACAGTAAAATTAAAACGTAACACAAATTCGTTGTACATCCAGTAGGCCTAAGATGCGCGCCGCGAAAAGCGGTTATCACGCCATTTTATCGATTTTGCTCAAACATTTTGACGTCGATAAAAGTTATCACGGCGCGCATCTTAGACCTACTGGTTGAGTTAACTACGCACCTGACAGCAGTGACGTCACATCGACGCTCAGATAGGCTGGGACGAATGCGAGGAGATTTGCAGTTTAGTGGGAGGGAGAGTCGCATTCCAGCGAGGTACGCAGTTAGCTCGATAAATTGCGTTGAAATAAAAATGACATTAAATTACCAACAGTTGGTATGCGGTCTTGAAACGCGCTCTTTTTTCAGGCTTATCCACATCAGTATGTAACCGATATTCTCAATAAAGACGCCTAATTAAGTGACGAATACGACTTGAGGCACTTGAACATTACACTGATGATGAACCACTTTAGATCTTTATCTAAAGGGCTACAATGGATCGGAGGAATATCACGATGCAACCTAAGAGAGTTTCGGTAATTTTGAACCTGAGATGACATCTACGGGCGGGTTTTTGTACACAGTATCAGTGTATCACTACAGAACCAAGGCGTTTTACGTATGGAGATGATTTACTGTTTCCTTTTAGTATACCATAGCCTTTAACGCGTTGACGGCAACGATATAACACTACGAATTACGGAAGCACCCGCTAAATTATGCATATCTATTCAAATTGCCTATAAAGTGAGCCAAACAAAGCTTACATCAAATTGGTAATGGAATTGAGATTTCGGGGGAGCTTTATGGACAAGCATTATTACAATACTAAAGCAACTGCCATTGAAATGTTCATAAGGCTCACTCTCCACTGGAATAATTTATGAGAGCGTAAAAATTAAAACAAGGCTGTAACACCGTTTAAGCTGAATGCTTTGTCACTTTCTTTGAAATGTGGCTCAACGGAAAGGTTGAAAACAGTGTTTTAATTAATACAGCGTTAGACTTTACGAGTAAGGGATAATAATACCTACTTACCGTATTTTTCCACTCTCGAACATGTATGTAGGCAACTACACAATATGTATTGGGGCAGAATGCTTACATAATCGACCCGCCCACATTTACATTTAGGTAACTACAGCAATGGATATATGAACAGAAAGGTTTACTGAAAAAGTACTATCTTCCTTGATAGGTAATCAACTGAAAAGGCCTCAAATAATACCTACGCATTTCACAGTTTCTTCATACGCTCATTATAGGAAGATTTTATTTTTAGTTTACATAATTAATAAATAGGGAGAACGCGTGTATCAGCTAAGCAAAACTCGTACACGTAAAAACGATTATGAACGCATAAAACCAAGTAAGGGTTGCTACGCGACCAAGTGCGGCAGATTTTGGTTTAGTACGAGTGTGTACTCGTAATATCATTATAATTAGCTGTAAGTAATTCTTATTGTGCGTTACGAAATCGTATATGCTTATAGAGCGACTGCCAGTTCTTCCTAGCTTTCCACTTCTGAAATACCCCAATACATATCTCGGAAATAAACACTACGATGCTTGCAGCATACATAAACCCTATAAACATAAATGCTCCCAAGAGATGCTGGATGCTCAACGGTTCTATCTCGCTTGCCCCTTCAGCATTCGCGGTGTGGATCAACAACTCCTGGTTCCATTTATCAATCAAGCCGTTTTCCGAGACGCTCCTTATTATAGTGTTGAATCTCTCCAACATCGGAAACCATTTCCGAGCCAGCAGAACAACCCCGTATTTGTACAGGTTATCGCTCTCAGGAAAGCAATAGATCAACGGTTTCCCCTTCCCCAATCTCTGGTCGGCGTAAGCGGCTTGTCTCCTCGACGAAACAACTGCAAAATTCCTATCCTTAGCCGCTCGTTTTATCCCCTCGGCGAATGTTGTCGAGTTATATTTGCGATACAAATAAAACGAACTCGCGTTATTAGTCTCAAAATAGGATCGGTAAATCTCTCTGCCTCCCAAAGGAATTCTTGACTGTATCAGATCAGTCTCGGTGCTTATCTGCTTTTCGAAGCGCGGGTGCATTAGGAAACTCCGCAGGAATGATTCGTAGGAAATCCCCATGTTTACACTGAAGCAGAGCCAACCGAAGATCAGAATCCGGAACGTGGCGCTCTTCGGCTCGAACGATGCGCCCCACCCTAATAACATGCTAAAGGTCATTAACAGGGAATTTGTTGGCCATTTAGTGACTTTTTGATTATTTTCTCTATAATACATGTAGTGGAACAATAATCCCATTACGAACAAACTGCCGAAGGTGGCTACCCATGTCGACCATTGAAAAATAATCACCAAATTATTCCATGTTGACGCTTGCCCTGCTTTAGGTACACACCAAGTCATTTCATCTTGCGTGTAGCTCACAGTAGGATGAAACCACCTTCTAATTGTTCTAGTCACTTCTATATTGCCTATCACCATGTCTACCTCATCATCGCGCAACACGCCATACGCTCCAGTGGCGGTACCATTCCAATAAACGTTCCCCCAATTTTCAGGTACATCTGAGGTTCTCATAACAAGGCTCATGTTTGTAAATTGAGTTATTATCTTGACCAAGTTTATTTCTCCACCTTTTTGAAAAACATAAGCATCGTTATAACTTGTGTTAGATAGTTTCATTGCCGGTGGCAATACATACGGCTCCGAAACAATAGCATAAGTCACTAATGGACAACCTTTCATGTCTAAAGGAAACATTTCCTTCTGTGTTGCTAATTCGTGGATGACATTATCCTTACATTTATCTAAAATGTATACCGAATCACATTTTCCTCCGCAATTTGTGTCACTATAAGGAGTCCAAGTGTAAGAAATAACTTCTTTCTCCTCGGGAGAATATATGAATATAATGCTTTTGAAAAGTTTGTAATGACGCAATTCGTTTATAAATTCAATGGCTGTCTGCTCGGCGTCCTCAGTTTTATTCAGCTGATAAAATACAATGGCTTTGGCTAATGGATTCCAAGTGGGCAATTTGTTTAGCTGCAGTATGTTTCTCGTTAGTTCGGATTTCTCTTCTAAAATCAGCATATAATTTTTGGCTTTCTCAGGAAAATGGGATGCGTTCGCGTGTGGATAAAAAGAATCCTTTACCATCACGGAGTACTTAATGCCTCCGTGGATGGTTTGCAACAATAGCACTTGTGTCGTGGAAGCATAGGAGTTGATGTTGATTATCACGATGCTGCCGCTTAAAGCTTTCTTTTCCACGAAATATTTAGCGGAGAGTTTTAAAACGCATTCTGCGGTTTTTGCTGTTTGCTCAGAATTTCCAGTTGTCGTCAGAAGTGAATTCTCGTTTATCGTAGCAGAAACGTGAAGCGCAAAAAATAAAGGTAGAAATATTATCGTGCACATTATGTCTTCGCCAGCTCCAAAGCGAATCGAGACGGAATCGATAACAGAGAAGTTTTTAGTTAGCAAAGTTTCCAGGGGTTCATAACTAGTGGCATTCTTATTAGATTCGAGACCTAGTTCATGAATATTTTCCTTATACTTTGAAAATGTATTAAATTTCTGTAGAAAAAGAGACGGGCACGAGTCTTTTGATTCTTTTTGCTTAAGTATTTTAGCATTTAAATTGGTTCTTATTCGGATTTTTTAATAACATTATTTACGCAAATTAGCCAGCGCAAATTGAATATTTCACCCACTAAATAATGGATTACTCATTAGCATAATTTATGAACGAGTAGACAGATACAATATTTGAATAATGCATTTTGTCGTAATACTATGTACTTACCTAAGTTAAACGATAATAATAATATAGGTACTTTTGCTTACCTTCAAATACTTTCATAACGGATTCGTACAAAATAAGCCTTACGTATAGGCAATATTTTAACTTTCGAAACTTTGTAGTTTTGACTGTGCTTTGTTAGTGGAGATTCGCGTTTTTTCGTGTACTTATAGATCAATTCCTTGTAAACTGTTATTCACTCCTTTCGTCTTTACCTATGATATTTAATTAGATTTGACATTTCAAAACAAAATAGCGGCTATCAAAGTTCATAATCCACTTAAAATAATAACCGCCCTTGAACAATCCTTTGTTCAAGCGATTTAAAGAATTTTCATATTCACTGATTTCTTACCTAAAAGTCTAGCGAATGTCATTTCTGCGTGCCTTCATGTAAGAAAGTATCATTATTAATGTTAATACTTGAAGGCATCCCATTACGTTTGCAAATTGAATTCTGCATAAAGAATCATAAATTCAGTACTTGGTTGGGGCAACATACAACAGCTGTACGTCTACTAGAATACCTATCTCCTGAAAAGATCAATACAAAAAGATTTAAGCTGTATTTATGTTTGTACGGGAAGAGCCTGGATGCGGGCAGCGCAGGACCGTGCATTGTGGAAAACCTTGGAGGAGGCCTTTGTCCAGCAGTGGACGTCATTTGGCTGAAACGAACGATGTATGTGCAGGACCTACTACATTTAAATGACAACTAGCTTTTATCCGCGGCTTCACCCGCGTAAAATTTAGTTTGTCACAGATCGTCATAAAAGCCTATTTGTAATTTTGAGATATAAACAATAATACTGTAAAGTTTCATCAAAATTTGTTCCGTAATTTTTGCGTGAAAGAGTATCAAACATCCAGACATCCAAACTTTCGCATTTATAATATTAGTAGGATTCAACATTCCTAAACCATTTTTTTTTGCGTAATTTAATTACACAATTTCATATTCAGTATCAAAACTACCTATGTCACTGCACTACGATATAGGTAAGCCTCTCTCAATGAGCGCCGCCAAACACGATCTTCCGTCTTTTTCATCTAGCCATCTGCTACTGGTACTAATTTTAGTGACAAGTCCAATCCACCCTACCATACGTTTTCCTAGAAGTGCTCTACTTTAAAGGCTATTTACTATATTTTGACGTTCATAAGTGCCAGTTGTGGTCTAAACTGAGTTAATATTTTTTTATTTGATTGGATTTAGGTATTTAATCCACAGTTTTCTGGTTCTTATGGCTAATTTCTTTGTCTTGTCACTGTATTTTTTAAAGCTAAGAAAAAGTGAACGTTCTTCGTTCGTGTGCCAACAATATGAACATAAGCTAGAGCTTTTTTTCCAAGCCTTTTTCTAAATACCTTAGTTTAACATGTTGGACAGCATAATTTATGAACGAGTAGACAGATACAATATTTGAATAATGCATTTTGTCGTAATACTATGTACTTACCTAAGTTAAACGATAATAATAATATAGGTACTTTTGCTTACCTTCAAATACTTTCATAACGGATTCGTACAAAATAAGCCTTACGTATAGGCAATATTTTAACTTTCTAAACTTTGTAGTTTTGACTGTGCTTTGTTAGTGGAGATTCGCGTTTTTTCGTGTACTTATAGATCAATTCCTTGTAAACTGTTATTCACTCCTTTCGTCTTTACCTATGATATTTAATTAGATTTGACATTTCAAAACAAAATAGCGGCTATCAAAGTTCATAATCCACTTAAAATAATAACCGCCCTTGAAGGATTGTTCAAGTGATTTGAATTTTCATATTCACTGATTTCTTACCTAAAAGTCTAGCGAATGTCATTACTGCGTGCCTTCATGTAAGAAAGTATAATTAATAATGTTAATACTTGAAAGCATCCCATTGCGTTTGCAAATTGAATTCTACATAATTATAATAAGAATCATAAATAATTCAGTACTTGGTTGGAGCAACATACAAAAGCTGTAAGCTGTCTACTAGAATACCTATCTACTGAGAAGATCAACAGAAAAAGATTTAAGCTGTATTGTGTATGTGCAGGACCTACTACATTTATATGACAACTAGCTTTTGCCCACGGCTTCACCCGCATGAAATTTAGTTTGTCACAGATCGTCATAAATGCCTATATAGCATATAATATTAGCCTACGTACCTATATGTAATTCTGGGTTATAAACAATAATACTGTAAAGTTTCATCAAAATTATTTTAGTAGTTTTTGCGTGAAAGAGTAACATACATCCAGACATCAAAACTTTCGCATTTATAATATTAGTAGGATCTCTGAAGCTCTTTACTTCACCAACATTCCTAAACCATTTTTAGTAATGTTTATGACACAATTTCATGTTCAGTATCAAAACTACCTATGGCACTGCACTACGATATAAACATCTCTTAAGGAGCGCCGCCAAATACGATCTCCCGTCTTTTTCATCTAACCATCTGCTACTGGTACTAATTTTAGTGAGAAGTCCAATCCACCCTACCATACGTTTGCCTAGAAGTGCTCTACTTTAAAGGCTATTTTTTACTATATTTGCCAGTTGTGGTCTAAACTGAATTAATATTTTTTGATTTGATTGGATTTAGGTATTTAATCCACAGTTTTCTGGTTCTTATGGCTAATTTCTTTGTCTTGTCACTGTATTTTTTAAAGCTAAGAAAAAGTGAATGTTCTTCGTTCGTGTGCCAACAATATGAACATAAGCTAGAGCTTTTTTTCCAAGCCTTTTTCTAAATACCTTAGTTTAATATGTTGGACATCATATTTTCGGAATCAGTAGGTACCTATTCCGAATATTTAATAAACAGGTACTTAAATCTTGAATAACTTGGAACTGAACAAGTTTCGGACATAGTGACATATGCCTTATATGACTGCAAATAAGCTCTACTTTCGCCCCTATCAAGGAATGTATCGCATTTCCTGTCACCCTGTATTGATTACATATTGATATGAGAATTGTATGGGGAAATCAAAACAACTGCTCGTATAATTTACACAATATATTATTATTTCCAAAAAACTGTCGCTTTACATAAAATTAAATTTGGTCCGACCGTAGTCGAGGTTTTAACAACTTTTTGTAAATGGTGTAACAAATTAAAGTATTCATATCCATGTTGAGCTAAATGTACATCTGCCACTGTGTTACAAAGACAAACATACAAACATATTTATACAAGGCAATATCTACAATGTTTAATAATATTTCTAACAACAAAATTGCTATGACAGCTAAATCAATTTAAGAAAAATTTTGTGTAGGTAATTTTCAACAATAAGTTTTTACGTATTACTTACACACAACATTGTTCTATATCTCTATGAACCGATCAATATAAGTAATATGTTCGTTATTTTCTATTTACATAACGCTGAATAATATTAATTAAAACATGTTGAGTTGAAGAACAAAAAAACTAAACTGTATTAAAATTTCTTGTCGATAAACTATTTGGATATGTAAGTAATTATTGCAGACACAAATAACTTCCATAACACAGTGTACAGTTGGATAGAATAGAAAGTACAATAATTTTGACATAAACTAAATCATTACACGGTAAAACTCGCCAACCACATCAACTTTACCTCTAAAATTGACAGATAAACAAATTATTGTTGATACTTGATAATAACATTTTGTGCCGTAAAACGAGTGTGAAGTACACCGTACCATACCGCTTAAATTACAATATCATAATTGTTAACTATTTACAATAAATGCAACTTCAAATACCTAAAACCTGTGCTTCATAACAATCTATATAAATATGTTATTTTTTCGTCTTAATTTAAAGCTAATTTAATTTTTAATCGGAAAGAGGAAAACGGGACGGTGGATGTACAATACATTCTAGTTGTAAAAATATAGAAGCAGTTTATTTACTTACAAACAATT